GCTTGAGGTATTCGGCCAATCACAACGCACTGGATAGCTGGCCAATCACAGCACACCGCGCTTTTTCAGACCGATGAGCTTTGTAAAAATCGACCTTTCTGACCTACATTTCAGAAAGGCGGGGCATAGAGGAGAAACAATAATGTACAGTATGTGGAAAATAATGTGTTTTTTTAACCTTAAACCACATAAACACATTTCATTACACCAAATACACAAAATAATGTTCTTTTTAGCAGCATCATATGACCCCTTTAATTATATTTAATTTAGAAGTTGTGTTTATTTATAGTAATAATTATTACTTTATTATATTATTTTATAGACAGGAACATTGCATTTATCAAAGTATTAATTAAATCTTACTGAAGTAAATAGAGTTTATCATCTTTTTTTTTCAAGATTTACCATTTACTTAGTTTTATGAATATACAGTATATTACTCTCTATGATTATGTAAACATTGCTAATTTCTTTTTGATTAATATAACCACATAAACTATATTCATTTTGTCTATACCAGGGGTTCACAACTCTGGCCCTCGAGGTCCACTTTCCTGCAGAGTTTAGCTCTAACCCTACTCAAACACACCTGAACAAGCTCATCAAGGTCTTCAGGATTACTAGAGTTATAGGCAGTGAGTTTAAAACAAGGTTGGTGCTAAACTCTGCATGAACATGGACCTCGAGCACCAGAGTTGAGAACCTCTGGTCTATACCTTTATCACAAATCACACAGCTAAAATACAATTAAAGAGTTTATTTTTCCAACATTAATAAAAGTGAATCAGTCACGTTCACATGACCTACTAAAGTCTGGACACAAGTTTTTAAAGGTGCATCCAGTAAAGCCTCATAAAAAAGTGACATTAACAAAACATGCATACCTTTTTAGTCTATTGGAAATATAAAAAAAAATATAGCCTGACTGAATGCTACTTCAAGTGTCTGCTGTTCTGTAATACAATTCAATCTCCATTACCAGCAAGAACTGCATTTGCTGCACCATACACAGTTTCGACCCCAGGAGGTATAAAATATAAAAGAAAAAACAACAACAAACAGAACAATTTTTTTTTAACCTGACAGAGCTAGGTAGTATTGATATAACCAAAACTGCATCCAACATGAAAACCGTCAGTCTGTCTTCCACCCCACACCTCAAGTGTCCACTGTATTGGCTCGTCGTTAGAGTTAGGTCACCCTGTAAATGAACAGCCACAATTTGTGATATTAAAACAATGATCTAAAACATTTAACCACAATTTCATATTATGCAGTGAAGAATAGGTAAAAATAACAACAATATTGTAATATCATGCAAATCTATGCATAGATTTATACTTACCTGAATATGAGAATTAGACCAATCGCTCCTTCTATATGGTCTTCAGTTTACACTCTTATTCTGCAGTGAATCCAAAGCCTTCCTGTTGATAGAAACGTGTTCATAAGACTTTGCTTTTTAACTAACAAATTACAGATTGTTTGAGCAAAATAAAAGATTTAAAGACAACTCGCATGAGAGGCTTTACACTTAAATGTTCAATTAAGTTGAGTACCATCATAAAGAAGCATAAAAACACTTTTACTAACCACTTTCTATTCACACTTTTCAAAATTAGTCCTATAAAACATAATCGCTGGTGGCAACAGGTGCTTTAGGGTTAACGTTAGGTTGTATGTTAGCTTAGCATAGAGACAAAGCACAACAATTTAAGAGATTAATACAATGTTATTGCTCTAAACTCACTCTATTATGTCAGCCGAGTGTTTGAAAGAACAGAAACTATCCCTATGCAATTGTTTTATTTTAGTAACATTAGCTAGCTAGCAGTTACAACGTTAAATCATTTCCAGTCATTTCCAATCATGCTCAAGTTTTTACGCGAAAAACAGTGCTTTGTGAATCTCTAAACTATTGAAAACGTTTTTGCTGAAATATCACTGTGACTGCACGCAAGTTAACTTTAATGACGTTATGTGATTAAGATGAGCATTAATGCATAATGAGTCAAGTAAACAAGAATCAAAGTACCGGAATGCACACGCACCAATGTATTACAAATCAGAAATCTGAAACAGAAAGGCAAACTTACCTTAAACACGAGAAAATCCAGCGATGCATCACCTCCATGACAAGCCCAACCATCCATCTCTGATTCAAAGTGCGGATAGAGTTTCTTATCCAAACACGTATGCGCGGATTCAAGCGAGCTATACTTTTAGATAAAATATTAATAAGAGATACTCTTCCCACACAGTAAATTAATTACATGAATTAAATGTGTAAATTTTACTTAGAAAATTGTTGTTCTCCTTGATTTTTAATATTACAAGTAGAACTTATGGTGGTTAATTTAATATATTTTACAACACCACAAAGTTATTTTTTTTCAGTGAGCATGCAGCAGTGTGTGCTAAAAGACAAAAAAAAGAGACACGTCAATATCACTTAAAGGGTTAGTTCACCGCAAAATGAAAATTATGCTGTGTTTCACTCACCCCCGAAGCATCCTAGGTGTATATGACTTTCTTCTTTCAGACGAATCCAGTCGGAGTTATATTAAAAATTGTCTTTGATCTTTCAAGCTCTATCGTTGTACTCAGCGGGTGTTGCAGTGCTGACTTTGCTGTTCCGATGAGCATGAACGGTATATGAGTGGAGCATAGAGCGGATAATACTCAGAGCGTCACACCACGTGAAAGTGAATCCTGAGCGGTGAACTAATTTTCGGCAGCCGCAATTTCAGTGCATCTCTAATTATTGGCAACATCAGAAATGGATATTATGTAATAGCTGCTTTTTTTGAACATGTTAGCAATTTAAAAATATTAAAAAATGATTTTTTACACGGCACCCCTGCTCTCGACAGATGGCACCCCAGTTGGGAAACACTGCTATATACCACTCAAAATATCTTCCATAGAAACACTCGGCAACCACACGGCTGCAAAGGCAATCACCACTCGTAAATTGCTTGCAACATTTGTGTTGAAATGACCATTTCAGGGCTGTAAACAGTGTTTTAATCATTAAAACACTCAACAGCTAAAGCATGTGATTTATAGCAATATTTATGTTTTCTTACCACATTTCTGAGTGAGGTCATTAATGTTAATGTGAGCAATAATGAACCATTAATGTTTTCCATTTAAATGTAGATGAACTTCTAATGCATTAGGAGATTGAATTCAAAGGTCAGCTCTGAACCTTTTACACATGGGACTTTACACAATTAGGCAAAGTGTCAGGTGAGAAATTAGAGGATGCAAATGTTGAATACACAAACCAGCACTTCTGAATCATTGGTGTAAGCCAATCAAACTGTAGTTGGTCATTTGCTTTAATGTGATCTGTGAAATATTAGAAAAGGAGGCTTGAAATGGTGAAGAAAACGTCTGTGACGAGTGGGGCGGTGGCGTAAATGATATTGAGCGACACCTGCACGGAAGGATAATTAGATTGGAGGCGTGACAACAGTGAAGGACGAGAGAGGACCAGGCCTGGACTATTTATGTTGTTGTTTTATTATGTTTTATGCAGCAGTTGTCCGTGAGGAGCTGCTGCTTTTACTTTCGTTTTGTGTTTGTTTATTTGGTTATTAAAGTTTTGTGTTTAAATGTTTGCCGGTTCTCGCCTCCTTCTTTCCCGATCTACGAACTGTATTACAACGTCTTAACAGATGATCTTCAGAAAACACCACGTTCTGTGACTGAAAGTTCAAATCGAGACAATAAACAAACCTCAACCATGAATGCGGTTTTGGATCAACATTACGAATTAGCATGTACCTGCAAACAATTTTCCATGTGGTTTCTTTGTTCTTGAGTCATGTGAAGACTTTAAATACAGACCTTTTAATGCAATATAACTGAGTACACTGCAGCAACAGTGGTTTTATTTCACACATCTTCAAAAAAAAAAAAAAACCTACAAAGATAGGAAGAAAAAAAGTGTTCATAATGGAAGCCCATTTCTACTTCAGAGTTAAAAAAAAAAAGAAATAGTCACATGGGAAGATATATAAAGTTTCAGTTGTGAAAAATACATTATAAGAACTAGTCACAATTTCAAGAAATTAGGTCACATTGCAGGATTTAAAGTAACGTTAAGAGATATACATTTTAAGAATTTCAAGTAGTTAAGTCTCAATTACTGTATGAATAAAGTTGTACTGCAAAGTATAGTCAAACTGCAAGATTTAAAGGCACATTGTAAGGTAAATGTCACTTTCTGAAATACAAAGTCGCAATTAGGAAAAACAATAGAAATGAGAAATAGTTAAAATTATGAGAAATAGTCACATTGCAAGATAAAAAAGCCACATTGAGACATATAATCTCACATTTCATCATATAAAGCCATATTGTATGAAAGTCACAAATTAAGATGAAATTGTGAAATATAAAGTCACAATTACCTTTTGTTTTGTTTTGTTTTGTTTTGTTTTTTTTACTCTGAAGCAGAAACTGTAGTGACATTTATCAAGCAATTAAAAAATATATATATAACAGATTCTTATCTTGATACTAAAACAACAAGTACAGTATGCTACATGACTGCCGAAATAATTGTGGTATTTCACAAATGTGGGCAAGAGTAGAAGCTGATTTTGTGACACACTACACATAAAGTTCAGGCAGGAAATTACTAAAGCAGTTTAACCCACATTATCTGTTTCAGTAAAGGAAAGCAAGCAAGCACAGAGGTTTAACGACCTGAATTCGATTGAAATTCCAGCCGCAGTGCAGCAGATAAACAATCTTAGCCTGCACTCACGTGAGAGAAGTTTCTCACCACACAAGCTCAAGCGTCTGTAGGAGAAACCTGACCCTGTGTGATAGCATCAAACAAAACTGCTTATATCAAGCCAAGACAACTCGCCAACTGCAAAATGTAACAAACAAGAGAAAAACAACACAATCATTATGCTCAACATGTTCTAAACAGAAGCTTCATCATAATGAGATGTGCTGGAAGTTGGAAAATCCAACATTTTGAATTTCAGACAAGAAAAGGTTCCTGTAGAATAGACAAATCAAATCTCCTGAGAAGATGAGAAGTCTTTTGAGCTACGGAATTGCAATAAAGTTGTCCTGTGAGTTGGCTGTTCTGGTTGACATGGAAGGGGAGTTAAATGGCTGAAGTTCAGGTGGCTTCAAAGAAAGTTAATTAAATCTCTTTGTATGTATTTAAAGAGAATGAGAACAGGGCTTGTAAAATCCATTGACTATTCATTCAGTTTCCATCTGTTATACAACACCTGAGATAAGACACGAGAAAAAAACATTCACAAAATATCCAAATATGCATGCTTTCGTGCTACGCATTATGAAAAAAAAGCAGTACGTCAATGAACACTTTTCAAACTGTTGAAAAGTTGAATTCACTCTGAAAGCATTGGAATTTGCATGCAGCCACAGCCAACTGAACTTTCTGGAACAATCCACATTGTATTCTATTGTCTCATAAAAAAAAACTAAAACTGAAAAAAGCCCCAAAGGTTGTAGGTGAAAGTGTATTTTGGGAAATTCTAAATTCCCAAGAATCTTTTGTCACTCCCAGGAAAACAAGGCAGGACTACATCATAATATACTTTGAAGAGGAACTTTTTTCTCTGATGTACAGTAAATACAAGATTTTCAAACTTCCACAGAAAGCATACCACAGGCCCCAAATGTCTATGTCTAAGTGGATGCACTGAGGCGCCCTACGCACTACTAAGTTGCATTATCTACTAACCACATGCCAAAATAAATCACCATTAACTGTGTGCTTTGTATACCCTCAACATCCCCAAAAAATAAAAGGTTCCCGTAGGAAAGTAAAATAACAAATCCACATTCATCTATTCATCCATCTGCATCACACACAAACCTTTAATCTTGACCTTCAAAGCTTTTGAAGCATTCAGGCAAGCCAAAACTCAAAGTTTGTTTAGATGAACTTTACTTTTTTATTTATTGTTATTAGTGTTCCTGGAGTATGAATGTCTTGAATTGTGCGCACTGAAGACAGTTTAGCACAGCAAAAACATCAGATCAAAGCAAGTATGCAGTCACACTTACAGAATTTATGGCTGTATGTATGTCATTTTGTTTTCAGAGAAATGAAAGTTCAGAGAAACAGTTGCTGTTGACCTGAAACAAGCAGGTGTAGTAGAAAGTGTAGTTTGTAATAATAACAAAGGTGGACTCCAGGCACATTTTCGGTAGGACAAAAAAAAATAGCATTTTATTTAACATATTAACCCATACCTAGGCTTGGGAATCCAAAATCTATTCCAATTCTGGAATAGGATGCTTAAGATCAGCAATCGTCTAGCTGTTATAAAATTAAATTTTCGATTCCTCTTATCGATTCCTTTGCATTTTAATATGACTAAACCATTCAAGCACAAGAAGACTCATGCTCTGTTTTCTGTACTGCAAACATAGGGGCATAGCCATCATTTCAGAAATCAGGGGGACAGAAATGTAACAAAAAAAGAACAACTTTTGTCTAATTGACAGGCTTTATTTTTTCTTATGTATTTTACTTCAACTCAACCTTGCCAAGACAGAACTGCTTGTGGTTCCAGCAAACCCATCGTTTCATCACAATTTCACCATCCAGTTAGGCACATCAACCATAATTCCTTCAAAAACAGCCAGAAACCTTGGAGTTATGATTGATGATCAGCTTACTTTCTCAGACCACATTGCTAAAACTGTCCGGTTCTGCAGATTTGCTTTATTCAACATCAAGAAGATCAGGCCCTTTCTTTCGGAACATGCTTCACAAATCCTTGTTCAAGCTCTTGTTCTGTCCAGGCTGGACTATTGCAATGCTCTCTTGGCAGGTCTTCCAGCCA